TATTTATTTATTTATTTATTTATTTTTTTTTCAGATAACCTTTAAGAATGCCTTTGAAAAAAGAAGAACATACTGAAATCATTCTCATGGCGGAAGTGTTGTTGACCAACCAAGAAGTGGACGTCCACGAACATCCACTGAAGAAGGTACAACCGACGTGATGCTGGCGTACATATTCCCCTATGTATGGATACTTTTGGGACACCCTGTACTTTGGCTTCATAGCTGTGTGGGTTTTCTCCAGGTTCTCAGGTTTCCTTCCACTGTTCAAAAACATGCAGGTAGGCAGACTGGCTATGGTAAATTGCCCGTAGGTGTGAATTTCTGTACATGCCCTGCAATGCCTGGCATTCTGTCTAGTGTTCCTGACACAGGCTCCACCGCAACCCTTACCAGAATAAAGCCGTTGAGGAGGATGAAGGTATGATTCATAGGTCTGCATGAATTGCATAGGAGTAATGAACTGTAAAGGAGTAATAAACATTGGTGAGATGTGATTTGAGGTCAGAGTTGGGATGAGGAGGCTTATGTCAAGGGTGGCACCTTGTGCCAAACCCAGTGCATTCCCTTTCTTTCTTTCTTTCTTTCTTATGCTACACCACTACTACCATATGACACTTATGACGCATAATAAATTATTTATTGCGATATTGGCCTTGGTGATAGTGATATCAGTGAACACATGTAAATCATCCCTGTTAATTGTTTTATCATGCCCATCTCAGGACCAATCCCAGATGTTTCTTTCAGGATTTAACTATATAAGTATACTGACACCTGTGACACATAAACTCATAATTTCCAAATATGCCACTGGAGTCGATTAAGACAAATTATGTCAAATATTCACATGCATAGGTTTTCCGAGAACAGCGAGGGTATCCTGCAATGTTTAACCAGCTTTATGAGCAGCTGTGGTGTCATTGTGCAGGTGAGTTATCACATGACCTGGGGCTCTGAGGGCAGAGGTTCTAAAGTACTATTTAAACTTTCCATGGTGAGATTACAGAATTGACCGTGTCATATTTTCATCAAGACCATTCACTGTGGACAATTGTTAGACTGTCCTCACTGGCTTACTATCAATCTTAGAACTTTAAAAAAATCAAGACTGTAGATGTTATAGCTTACAGGGATCAACTGCCAAAAACCACCTGATCACAGAGAAGTGTGTCTTTTCTGTTTGAGAGAATTAATTTATTAGTCATTGAGGTTAGAGATAATGAGAGGTTTCTCCCAGGTTTAGTTTCAGTGTTGTTAGTAGATTATCTGAGGCAATGCAGGGTGAGATACGTCTATACAGGACAATGCAGCCTCAGATTTGTTTCTTAACCTTTTTCTTGGTTTTTAATTCACAGGTTAAGTCTAGGCCTGGGCTAATTTATATTTTCTACAGGGTCTCTCCTTTAATAGTCTTCTAAGTCTCAGACCAGGCTTAGCCTGCGTCTGCAGAACCAGGTGAGTCACACAGAGCCAATTTACTGTGTTTTATTTGCTGTGCATTATTTTCAATGGACAATAACTTAACAGAGCAGATGGGCAAGGTTATGGCTTAATCAGTTGTATGTTCATAAAGTTAGACACATGGTACAATTTACAATTCTTTCATGCTATTTACAAAGCTCCATATTTGTTTATGTGATTTTATGAATTTGACAAAACAAAGCTTTACTTGCTGGATTCGCAGAAATATTAGTGACTCTTTCATTATATGGTTCATGAAAAAGACCCCAGATGTTAATTATGTATTATGGCATGATGTTATTTGTGCCAAAACTAACTCTGAGGCCAAATCTTACCTCAGCACCAGTGTTGGCAATACAAAACATTCATTTAATAACATCATCATAGAAATGTCAAGAGAAAAGGTTTCCACTGACGCATATAAATTCATATAAATGTCTGTTCCATCAACAACATTTGATTACAGCTTAAACCGTTGAGATCAGGCTCATTATGGCTTTGGACCATGTCTCGGGATTATAGAGTAAGGATTAGACATTAGTGAGGTCAGCAGCAGAGAGGTTTCTGGCTGGACTGTTTTCTGGCTGGGGTGTGGCATCCTCACAGCTAGCATTTAGAGACGTGCTGTTCACTCCACCATGGCTCTTCAGATTGAAGCTTACCTCAGGCTGAAAGAAAGAGTGTGAATTTAATTTGTTTCACATATTTCCCTTAAGACCCACTTAATGCAATCACTGAAAATGTGATCTCAAGCAAAAACATAAATAAAAATCCATTAGATCTCATGTACAAAATAGATTTACATCTAAGGTAAGGGATCGCTATGTCAGAAGTGGCTGACATATTCATCAGATTGGAATTTTAAAAATAATTAAAATGTATATTCTTTATTCTCACTGGTAATTTGTACTCCTGAATAAAGGTCTCACCCTCACTTTGAGTTGTCTGAAGGAGTGTTGGCCATCATGGTGACTTATCATGGAGCGTCCCAGAGAGCTCTGACGGGATATAGTGGGTGGAGTTCCCATGGTCTCAACTTCCTGTTCAACATCCAGTCTGCACAGGCACAATGACAATGGTAAACACTGCTATAAAAATACTAGGTCAAAGTAGTAGGGCACTGCATACTACTATACTGACTAGTGAGTCCTCAAATGCTTAACACACAAGTCCACAAAGGCAATGTCCCAAATTGCATGTCATGTTATCAGTTATCTTGTACGTGAGTTCTAGACTTGGACTTTAACTAGACTGAAGTCACAATTGTGTAATTTGATTTGGACCTGCCTGTCTATGATTCAATACTCAACTTTGTCTTGAGAAAATTTGGACTTTGATATGGGCTTGGAAACCTTTACACAATGTTGCATGCACTGACATGCAAATAATCAATCCTTCAGCATTAAGTAATGTTACATAACTATGTTATTCATTCATTCATTTTCTTCTGTTGTTCCTGTTTGGGGTCACAGAGGCAACAGGCTGAGATGGACAGTTCAGACTTCTGTATCCCCAGCTACAGATTCCAGCTCCTTCTGGGGGGTCACCAGACTTTCCCAAGCCAATGGTGAGATGTAATTTCTCCAGCGGGTCCTGGGTCTACCCCGGGTTCTCCATCCAGTGGGACATTCCTGATAGCTGGGGACCAGGGGGCATCATTGTAAGGTGCCAAACCACTGCAGCTCACTCCTGTAATTCATTAATGTAGCCAGGCTCTCCCTGTCCACCAGGACCCCATTCAAGACCTTACTTTGACTTGAGTAGAAGCTAATGGATTTAAGGCCTGGCTTGGATTTGACTTGAATAGAAGCTAATGGATTTAAGACCTGGCTTAGATTTGACTTGAATAGAAGCTAATGGATTTAAGACCTGGCTTGGATTTGACTTGAGTAGAGGCTAATGGATTTAAGACCTGGCTTAGATTTGACTTGAATAGAAGCTAATGGATTTAAGACCTGGCTTGGATTTGACTTGAGTAGAAGGTAATGGATTTAAGACCTGGCTTAGATTTGACTTGAATAGAAACTAATGGATTTAAGACCTGACTTGGATTTGACTTGAGTAGAATCTAATGGATTTAAGACCTGGCTGGCTCTATTTTTGACTTAGCTATTGACTTGTTTTGGGCTTGGGCAAATTGTTTTGGAATTAATCTCAAGTGACTATATTCAGGTTACCATATCATTAGAAGCAGTGGTATATTTATTATGTTTCCATGCAGTTTTGTATGAAGTCAAAATCTCTCTCCCTCTCTTTCACCTTGCAGCAGCAAGGAGGGCCTTCATTTCTTCACTCAGGTGTTGACGGACCATGTGCTTGCTTGCAGAGATACCTAATGCTGTTGCCATGGAGTCTGTGTTAAAGGAAGGATCAAGCACCATGACAGCACCATGAATACCGCTGTTTTGAAGACTGCCAGCAAACTCCTGAAACAATACGTGCACAAAACGACGGCAATGAACTTTCACTCTATAACCGTATGTCAGCTTTTATTTCCTTAGTCAAACTATATATTATTGCACCTTTCTAAGAAAGTATAAAATGTAAATTAGGTTTTGACCTCCTTCATTCCTCAATGACCTATACGTATTTGATCTCAAACAATCAGTTAAAGGTGCATTATTAATTTGCTGTTTAATTTCCTCAATTAGCATTCCTCTCTAAGTGTGTGTGTACCTTCAGGTCGATGTCCCTGAGCCATTTAATAATGCGCTGGCAGGACCAGACCAGAAGGTCTGAGTTCCGGTTCTCACAGTCTGCTCGCCTTGCTTGCAGCAGCTTCAGAAATATACAATATATTATATATTATAGTATTAGTTATACATTTGTATATGCATGCATGCATATGCTGTACCTCTTTGTTAAAGTTAAGCATGTGTAGGAGCTGGATTCCCAGCAGCAGGCTGCTCTGGTGGGCTTTTTTGGACACATGCAGGTGCTTTTCCAGGTCGGCTCGTGTGAGTGTGCTCAGTAGGCGTCCATCGACTAAGTGTGTGTGGAAGAACTGGGAATACTGAGGCAGGCCTACATCATTTAGCCATGCCTGCGCCACCCAGTGGTGGTCAAGATCTGCAGCATTCGATAGTCTGACAGCACACACACACAGACACAAATCATTAAGTTGAGTACACCTAGTTACGATACACATATTAGAAATATATCTGACAGGTGTGTATAACAACATTTGTGTGCACAGTAGATAATATTGTGGCCAGACTGATTACACTGGTGAATTACTTTGCTATGTTTATTTTACTTTCTGTGGCAGCAGTAGTGATTATGTGTACAGAGCAAGAAATTAGTTTGGATTTGAATGTTTTGTTTAAGCGTATGATTTTCTGACAGCTTGCATGTCTCACCCATGTCCCGACT